TTAGCGCTAGTTAGTGCTGTGACAAAGCAATATTGGTTCTGACCTAATGTAATTATTCCAGCACTATAATAGGTTAGTTGTATCTTGAATGAATTTGAATTAATGTAACTTATTGGGTCATTGTATGATGTGGGTTTTTTAAAATATCATTGAAGGTACGTTTCGGCAATAAATATAAAGATGTCTTGTACCTTGTCGATATCATATGCACTTCAAACTTCATCACACTATCAGAGGCTATGTCGTATTTTTTTCCTCGAACGCTTTAGAATTAAAGAAAATGCCTTATCATTCAATCTAACTACATGATTTTACTCAAATTTTACTCAAAATTTCGTGCGCGCCTAAACGAAGTGGTAAACTGTTGTAGTGGTACTGGTTTTTAACCACATAATTCTCGAACCTGAACATATAGTTTCTGAGAAGATTTAATTTCAACACCTAACACTTGGAGGAGGTTGGTAGTGGTGAACGCGGGAATAGTCAATCGAAATGGCATGACTCGGCCATGCAGACGTAGTCATCCCATGTAATCTCTTGCTTTTGTATTAAATATATATCTCTCTACTTAGCCCAAAAATGTGTTCTTCGGAAGTATTATATGTTATATTGCTGACTGTCATGATAGGACGAGTCGCCGTAGACCATGGTGTGATTTGCACGTAAAATCTTATAGATTAGGTTGTTATATCATGACAAATGTACGATTATGGGATTAGGTCTATTATTATAGTACTAAAGATAAATACACTGATGCCGAAATAGACCATAATTCTACATCGCTTCTTTGATAATTTAAGCATTACAAATCTGAGGTTTCCATTTGTTATTTTTTATGTATTAATATATTGATTATTGTTATTGTTAAGGAAGAGATGAAAACAAGTAACAATTACAAATAGGTTGTGGTAAATGCATTTAAAAAATGCTTTAAATAGTCAAAGAGAATACTCAATCAATGGTATAAATCAGAAAGGGGTTTTGTGGAAATCTTAGCAATTTTATAGTTGAATTCATAAATGAATTGAATCTAGACCACTATGTAAAACCTGGGAACACGGGACGGTCGTTTCATCCTGGTATGATACTCCTCAACAGTGCGCATCCATGATCCCACCTCTTGATATTCGAACCCAGGATCTATCATTCTCGCACACGAACGCTTAACCTCTAGACTGTCCAGTGCTTCCAGATTTTTCATAGTGGTCTAGCTTCGATTGACTCATGAATTTCAATATGCAATAGTATAAATGTCTGAAATTTCATAGACAAGAAAAATAATAAAAAGCCGCTATTATCAATGATATATTCAAGATAGATTCACCAAATTTGTCAGGTTAACATTGACTTAAATCAGACATAATCCTGAAGAAGTCCAGACAAGTTTGTTGGGCGAAACGTTGGAAATATTTAATTTTCAATTATTTCTTTTTCAATCTAAAAACCATTTTAGAAATTAATGTCTACTACATTCAAATCAATGTCCTCTTACTTCATTATTAATTATGTTTAGATACCAGTAAATGTGAAGGATACCAACAACAACAAAAATGTTTTCGAACATTGATGACTAAAAAATGGAGTATAGTGTCGGCTATTATGTTAAGCCCATATTCCTTATTCAAGCATTCGGACAGCCCATTCTATTCATTCTACTTGAGTCACATTCAGACCTTGTTATTTATTCGCTTATCAATCTTGACTGTTTTTATATGAGCGCATATATGTGTGTACATTTCTTATCTTATTCATCATATGTCTGTAATTTATTTTTATGTGACTATAAATATCGATTAACTCTTGACTAAACGGAGTTGGCTTACCCGCCATCTCCACTGTGCGTCGTTTCGATTCTCTCTATTCCATTCGCTTCATATACAAAATATATGTATTCAAAAGTCCATTCTCGTTATTCGACTTATTTAATTCTGTTATTGACTAACGCGATTTAAGTCGATGATTATATGCGAGAATAGGCGATAACAAGCATTCATTAGGATATTCTTGGAATCAGATAACGGGCCCCACTAACTGAGTATTAAATGTACCGAGTCCTGTATACCTAATGTTATACTGGGAGAATGTTATAAATACAATGCATAAATAATGCTCTAAATTGAGATATAATAGTCCGGCTCTTGATAGGATAAAGTTGATTTTTGTTATTGCTTAAATACATTATTCATGTTCAAATCGTTATATAAATACATTTAAAATTTTTTTAATTATTTCGAGCTATTCACTACCAAAGACCCTTACAAATCCTGTAAAATCAATTAACATTTAAACGATATAAAGCGCATATCTTGGCAATAAGTTTTAATCAGTTAGAACATTTTATCATGTAAATAAATGAACTCTAAAACAATTTATCACCAGTACTGCAGGTTCAAATGTGTTCTCATATGTAAAACACACATGAATATCCATAAAATACTTTTACGATTTACATGGCTAAACCAGAAAAAAACCTTTGAATCAAATAAATTAGAAGAGATGTATGATGAATAGTTGCACGTTTTTTCTTTATCCTTGTTGATTGTATATATATTACGATGATGTTGCCAGAATAACCTGTTTCTTATAAACAGTTCAACAATATGGTTGATTCCAATCAACAATAAATAGTAAGTAAATAATATCATGGACTTGTTGAAGTTAAACATCAACATTGTTGAATTCTGGTTTAGTAGTCTAGATATTAGGCGTTTGCATCCGAAACCGAAAGTCCTGGGTTCGATTCCCATAGGCAGGGTCTTAGACGTTCACGGCTGAGGATTCTCACACTATTCTCACACTATGGCGGTTCAGTGCTCCTAGTGTTTCAATGGGGATCTAGTTAAGATAATTTAGCGATTTCAGCTGTGAAAATAATGATCTGTAAAATATCACCATAGTTAAGAGTTTAATGGAGGTGTAGGATGTGGAAAATGTATTAACGACCTAACAGTTAAGTTTCCTGAATATTTTATTTGTTGAATACAAAACATTGTTGTTAATTTTCACATATGTATTATTAAACACTAACCAAAATTTATAAAAGATTTACGGGTTTTTCATAATTTTGAAGCAACCTGGTCAGTTTTCTCATAAAATGTTTGCTTCTAGATTTGAAAATAATCACTACTGACTAGTTTCAGATAGAATTCAAGAATCTTAAACCTTTTGTTTGTTTGAAATTCATTGGCAAATGATGGTAGGTCAGTATAGTCAAAGTTACTTACAAGATTATTGAATCATACTTTCTGAAGAAACTTAATTTGACTTTCTAATGCCCTTTATCTAACATCACTAAGTCTTAATTCCGTCCACTAGTTCGCAAATCGTCCAGGTTTATTAGATTTGAATCCAATATCAATGTCAGTCTTGGTTTCTGGCATTAATTCTGCTTGAGCTCATATCCAATGGTCTCTTACTTGAATATCTTAGAAAAACTAACATCTCTGTTGAATTGGGTGTTCGAGTAGATTATATCGTTAATGTTGTTCACGTTAGAAAATTGTTGTAAGAATATTTAAACTTCAGCTCTGCTGTTTAATAATTTTAATCGACATCTCGGTGAACTTTTTCACTGATCGGACACACCCCATTCTGCTGAGGTGAATTTCTGGATAATTCACTCCTAAACCTGAAAACAACGAAATCTAGGATCTTCAGGTTTCATAACAATCTATTAACAGCCAGACTATTTGATTGACGTCCAGTGATACAAATTTCCAACATCAACCAACTACTGATGTAGCAAGACAACCGTTCAACGCCATTCATAATGGATGCTGTACCCTCAATATACCTAAACCTTTCTGGTAAAAACTACTTTCCAGGAAGTTAATTCAACTAAGAATAATCTGTGACACATACTACGTACAACTTTAAATAGTCTTTACAAAATCAACTCATCCAGCATTTATTTTTATTTATTTATTCAGTTGAACACAAATATTGGTATAAAGGGGCACCAAATATATATGCACCATAAATGTCACTTGATTTTCGTGAGCTATAATACTGCCTGGGTTCCCGGACCGAGGTACGTGGTCTCCTTGTGGGGCCACACCCGGTGCCTTCGACATGAAGGTCTGATCCACAAGGCAGTGGGGCGACGTCAGGAGATTCAGTCCCATGGTAGCCGGTGACCAACGATTGGTTCATACTCCATTTCTTTCCTCAAGATCCTGGAGCCCATGTGCACTATTGGTTTGGAATCAGGGTTTTCCAACTCCTCTAGATGGATTGTCCCTATCCACTAAGCCCCGAATGCCCTGGTACGGCCGAGGGAGAAAAAGTCCTCTCTCCCTCTCAAAATCCTCCCACATGGCCACGCGTATATAGCCACTGACAGAGAAATTCTACTCACTACCTTCTCCTAGTGGCGCTGTTGTTTACGGAATTGAAAGGACCCTAAACTAATGTCCGGCGTATCCATTATTTATCAATAACTAATTGTCACCGTACTGAATAAACAAATTAGAATAGACATAATAATAAAAAAATAATTTATTTACAAGGTCTATTCACATTTGATTACTAAAAATAAAAGCGAAAAAAACAGCGCATTTGAACTATGTATACAAAAGAAGTAATTTGTAAACAATAAATAAACAGAGAGACAAAAAATTCCGCACGCACGCACGCACACACACCTACATCTTTAAAATTGTTTACCTAAAATCATATTTAACAAATAATTAACAATTTATCAGAGAATCATAATAATAATAAAAGAACAGTTCAACAATAGAATACTCATAATACAGAATTGATTAATATGTTTATATATATATATATATATATATATATATATATATATATATGTATGTATAGATGTGTGTGTTTGTTTATTTGTTTATTGTTTCAAGTTGTGAGTAGTTCACTGTGTGTGTGCGTGTGTGTGTATGTGTGCGCGCGTGCGTGCGTGCGTGTGTCTGTAGTATCCAAGGGAGAACAATAATAATAAACAATCAACGACAAAAACAAACACAAAACATCACCCTACATATTTATCGGAAAATATTTAAAAAATAATAAATCATAAATAAATAAATAAAAATATACAATATAAAATGAAATAATTTTTTTAAATGACGTAATAAATATGACCATAGAAATATTGTGTTTCTACCAGGAAATGTACAACATGGTATTGGTTTATTTAAAAATTCACATAATGGTAACCAACCTTGTTTAATATTATAAATTAATAAACGATCTTTTGGTACAATCAATTGAACATAATCATTCCAACGACTATAGGCATGAATTAATTCATTATCATTTTTTAAATTAATTGTATTACCTAATGTATTTTGTAATGATAATAATTTTAATTGATTTAATTTTATTAACCATGTAAATAATGAAAATTTATAAAAAAATTTTTGTAATTTTGATTCATTTGATTGATATGGTATAAGATTTGTACGACAAGCAGCATGCCATAATTCAGCATTACGTACTGTTAAAATAACCTGAGATGGATAAAGTTTAAATAAATAGTATTAGTATACGATAAATATTGATAATTGATCAGTGATTAATTATGAAATAAGTTATGGTATAAATAATTCAATTTTAACGTTGCTAACTATGATATCAGTAACATACTTACATAATTACTTACTTACATCTGTCACCTCTAATAGGCCGCCAGGTAGCATTCTCCAACTCACTCTGTCCTGGGTCTTCCTTTCTAATTCTATCAAGTTGTGTTACTCATTCTTTTCACTCTTGTCTCCATTTCTGGGAGTAATGTGTTCTTTGGTCTTCCTCTCCTCCTTGAGCCTTTAGGATCCCATGTGAGGGGCTTGACTTGAGACGCGATTGCATGCTTTCCTCAATGTGTGTCCTATCCACTTCCAGCGCTTCTTTCTGATTTCTTCCTCCACTGGAATCTGGGTTGTTCTCCCCCATAGTAGGTTGTTCCTGGCCAACGGATCCGAAGTATTTTGCGTAGACAACTATTAATAAACACTTGTGTCTTCTGGATGATGACTTTTGTATTTCTCCAAGTTTCCGCTCCATAGAGTAGAACTGTCTTGACATTTGTACTGAAAATTCTGACTTTGGTGTTGGTTGACAATTGTTTTGAGTTCCAGATGTTTTTCAGTTGTAGATATGCTGCTGGCATTAGTTGAGACGAATGTATAATAAGTAAAATAAGAGTAGATTAAAGGTTTCATAGCTTACGTCACTGATTGATCTTTGTTAAACAACTATTACGAACTAGGTAGCTGCGTACAGAGCTTTTCTGGCAATAAAGAACACCCTAAGAGTGTATCCATTACTCCACTGAGGATTGAACAACAATATGTCATTACCATTAATGGTTAACTGCCTCATACTCGATACGGATGATCAGACCATGATTTTAACTATGAAATTCAACAATCTCCACAAATTCCTTATTGTATTGATCGTGATTTTTTTCGCTCGAATATGAAAACTATGTACATTTACAAAAGATTCATATAAGAACACCATGTTTGAAACGCTTTCAATTATATTTAGAAATTTTCAAACAGTAATCAAATGTATAAACAACATTGTTAACATGAAGAGAGTAAATAGTTTAACAGAGATTCACTGTCAAATGTAATTTCTGACAGCATTTTATCATAATTAATTGATTACTGACTAGTGATCAACGCTGTGTCTCTTTAATCTTTAAGTGTAGATAGAATTCCTGTCGATAAATTTGCAATGTGGTCAATAGTCCAAGTGACTTCATATCAATGAAATCTGTAATAGAGGGCCAGTCTCAATTTTTCCAGCTCACTGGTAACGTGTGAGGCTGGTAGGCTGCATGGTTAACAAGGATTCCATAGAGTCCATTAGTTTCCTTAAGAGAACAGGTACACCTTGTTGCCAAGTTCTAACCAGCACAAAGGCTAGGTCACTTAGAATTTCCCAGCATTTACTTTCAGCCACCTACTATCCCAATTTACTATTAAATCTGGACAACCAAATTAATAGTTGTTGTTTGGAAGGATAAGTACATGGGTTATTTGTTATAGTTGAACATATCAATGTAGAGGAAACTTTCTGAAACATAAAAGTCCACGGTCTCAGATAAAAAAATACGATTCCTTCCATCCCATAGAAAAAAGTTTTATTCACTCGCTACAAATGCTGACTTCTTTAAAACGCCATGCAATTTGTGTTGGTTTTAGAAAAACTCAACAGAGATTAGAAGAATGGAAAGAAAATCTGTGATATAGGTCAAAATTGATTGTTAGTTTCATTTAAGGCAACCGGTGGTTGATCGAAAGTAAGAACCTGGTTCACACTGAGCAATATTAACATCAAGCCATTCGGATTATGATTGAACTTCAGTAGCAATACAGTAAATGTACTCATCAGTTACTGCTAAATTTCGATGTTCAAAGCCAATCATTAACTGGAGAAGAGCATCAAATCTGATAAGAGGAAATATGTAGAAGATTTAGCAACGCCAGACAAAAATAGCAACAAAAGAAGGGAGTCTGAGACAACTCTGTGGTGCAGCCAAGAAGTTGGCGGACAGATATGGTGAGCCACAGCGACCAGTCACGAACAAGAAAAGCGTAAAACTCACTGGAATTCAACAATAGTGAAACAGGTTGGCAGAATAATTTCAGGAGCCCTTGAACAAATCAATTCCTATGAACCCACATGACATCGAGGCAGCACAAACAGACATTCTTGTAGATGTTATCACAAATCAATATGACTATCAGACCAATCAAGAGTGTGAAAGCAGAAAGACCACACAGCATACCAGTTGAAGTAATGAAGTCAGACACAGATGTAACAGTGAAGATATTCTACGATCTCTCAGAAAGATTTGGGAGGTAGGACAATTATCGACAAACAGAAACGAAGGACATCACTCAGGCGTCTTGCTTGAATATCTGTTCTACCTATTCCTATCATTTAGATATTTCAACATGTTATCTGTTTCCTTGTTTGTTTTAACACATCATTATATCAACTAATTGCATAAGTCATTCATGTGCATTTATGAAAAGTTGACGACATTTCTCTGTTCAAATTACAAAAATTAAAAATCGGGGACATCATGATGGCTAGCAATGTGCATTGAAATGAATGAGAACTGCGTTCAGGCTGAAAACCCCTATTTAAAAGGTGAGTCGAACATCCTGGAAAAAGTACAGAGGACATCTACCTGTGCAATTCCAGAACTCCAGAGTTTACCATACAAAGAGCGGCTTGAATAACTAGACCTCTTTACTCTGTCCTATCACAGACTAAAGGGACATCTAATTTTGATACATAGAATACTAAGAAATGATTATAAACCTAACATATTCTCTCTTTTTCATTCCACTAGATCGGAGCCAAGAACGAACAAAATACCCATGGTTTATAAGTTTTCACACCGAATCATTAATACTTGCAACCGGTTACCCGTAGCAGTAATGTCCACACTTTCACTCATAGAAGCATACATCAAAACAAAACAAAAACCACACACACACACACACACACACAATCAACTTACTTTCACATTAGGATACATTTGTATTAAATCATTTAAAAATGATGTAACTGGTATACCGGATACAGATTTATAATTTTTTAATAATAATTTTAATAATTCTTGTTTATTATAATGAAATCCATTTAATTTTGTTTGATATTGACATAAATGTAATTCTAACCATTTTTCTATTATATCATTTGATTGATAAATTAAATCAGTATAATGTAAACATGTTGTACCATGATATAAAATTTCTAATGCAGATTTTAAATAACTAGTTCCAGTTTTATTTAAACCAACAACAATCACTTCTAAATCATGATTGATAGATGAGTTTGATAATGATTTATTAGAATTCCATAAGAGATTCATTGTTTGTTTTCTTTTTCTTTTTTTTTGTTTTTTGCTTTTTGTTTTTGAAAGGGGGAAAAATTCAAATCCGTTTCAAGATTGGCACTATTGTTTGTTTCAATTAGAATTTTATAATGATAAGTATGATGATAGAAAAGTGATTTGGTTTGATTTTTCGGTAAATTCTATCACATTTATGTATTTATATGTATCTATGTCAGGTTTAATTAATAAATTGGTAGGTCAAGGTTATGTTGATATTTATACATGTCTACCATTACATACTTGTATACTTGTGTATGTATGTATATATGTATGTTTGTGTGTGGGTGTGAATTAGTATCACATTGTCAGTAATCATTATGTAATGTAAACGTGATTTCAATTACTTCATTAATTCTATTTTGTTTAGATCAATTACATAAAGTTCAATGATAAAGAAACAAAATAATGATGTGTGTCTAGACTCAATAAAACAATAATATCAGAAGGGGTTTGTGGAGATTTTAGAAATGTCACGTTTGGCACGAGACTGACAGGTCCTGGGTTCGAATCTTGCAGGGTTCGGGATCGTGGATGAGCACTATTGAGGAGTCCCATACTAGGACGAAACGGCTGTCCAGAGCTTACAGGTTTTCTATGGTAGTCTAGCTTCAATTAACTCATGATCTCAACCATTAAAATTGTTGTTATGTGTTTGAGTTTTGGACAGATCAATCATATAAATAACTGAATAAATAATAGAGGGACTAATATTTCACTGAAATACTCCAGATATCAATAAGTAGAATTAAGTAATATATGACTGAGAATTAAAATGTAATCAACTGTTTGATTTAGATATTGTAAATATTACTATTTTAAGTAACTTTTTTTGTGACAAAATGATTTGATTCGAATTTGAATAGACGTGCTATGAACATCATATCTTCCGTTTAACTTCGTATATTACAACACTCTAGAGTAACCCCATTTGTTCTGTGATACCGGTAATAAAAAGTTAAATACAGGTTGAGTTGGATGAATTTATTGCAAGTACTTGTTTATTCAGACATATTCAAAATCAAAAGTGGAATAACAAAGAGAAGTGAGTGCGCTAACTCGTTTAGATGAAGTGTGCTTCAATGGGGTTATTAAGCGAATAACTGACAGGGTCAAAATGTGGCTCATGAAAAATAAACGAATCGGTATGTCTGAAAGCTAGAATAACCCATGTGGACACAAAGGAGAACTTATCATACAACACAGATGAAAGATTTAAGTAATTTGGTGTTAAATTCATTTGTTGTACTAGAGGTCAATTTTTTTAGGCGAAACAGTTCTCTATAATTTTCAAATAAACATGCATCTGACATCAATTCGTAATGAAAACTTTGAAAAATTTGTTAAGTTATGAACACATTCTGTCTTACCATTTCACATAATTATTGATTTTGACCCAAATAAAATAATCTATGTGGGCTTAACATAACAATCGACACTACACTGAGATTTTTGGCCTTCCTATTTTCCTTTTCCCCCAGGATTACAAATTGGCGCTTACCTCCTGACGCAGTTTGATGATTTCCTCAATGTGTGTCCTATCTACTTCCAACATCATTCCATAATTTCCTCTTCAGCTCGATTCCGGTTTGTTCTCTCCTACAGTAGGCTGTTATTGATGGTTTCCGGTCAACGGACATTGAATATCCTTCTTAAACAACTATTTATAAATACTTGTACTTTGTAGGTGGTGGTAGTAGTTTTCCAAGTTTCAGCTCCGTACAGTAGAATTGTCTTGACGTTTGTATTGACGATTCTGACTTTGATATTCGTTGACAGTTGTTTTGAGTTCTATATGTTCTTCAATTCTAGGAATGTCGCCCTTAATTTACCAATCCTCGTCTTTATGTCCACAACAGATCCTTCTTGTTCATTGATGATACTGTCTAGGTTTGTGAAAGTTTACACATCTCCCAGAAATCTATAAATACAATATTTATTAATAAGGTAACAGGTCTTTAAATGGAAGATGATTCATTTCTTTTCCAATACTAATAACTTAAGCGCTCTACTAAATGATATGAAGGTAATTGAAGAATAACTTTTTTCACTAAGTCTCTTTCAAATAATTGAATTAGTTTAAATCAATCACTTCAAAGCAAAATATATTAACTATTAAAGCTTATATATATGATAATAGTATATTAGTTTCTTATCATAATTTTCAAGTTTTTAATCCAAATATAAAGTGTTATAGTTTAAATTCTTATATTATAATAATGAACACTTTAGTGAATACTAAAATATACTAAGAATTTAGACATTAACACCGTTGGATGTCGACTCAGTGGTCTAAAGTTTAAGCATTCTCTCACGGAACCATGGATGTGCACATTTGAGGCATACTATATGGTACGTCTTGTCGATGGAACGCTGTATACGATTCCTAAGCTATCTGGTAACCCGCAGACTAGAACTACACAGCGACTTGAACAGCAGAGAGAAGACACAAGTATGAGAGAAAATACTTTATCCCAAGGTTCATTTTTGTACAGAAAATCAAGGGTATTTATACATGTTGATGTCTGTTAGATCAACATCATATTTCAGCCAATCCGTTAACGTCATATTATGCTACCGACCAATAATAGCACGCCACGCTGGAATTCTCGAACGTTCCACCGTACTCTGATTGGCTAGGATCCTTCGGCTCCTTTTGGGCCTCTGGAGGCTCCGTTGAAGTTCTCCAGAAGCCGACTCAACACTATACTAGGACGAAAAGGCTTTCCAATGATTCCAGATATTCAGTTGCGATCTAACATTGATTCATTCGTGATATCAATCTAATTTTATCAAGAATTAGTTTCACATAGTTTGTCTAACTGGTATTTGTGTTAAAAATGTTTAGTAATTATTATTTGCTATAACTTCTTATTTACCTAAATATTCTTTGCTACTGATTATAAAAACATTATTGCCGTAATTAGTGAAGTTGTGATAGTTTAAAATATAGACAATTATGACCAATGACAATAGATGGTAAACATATTTTCTTGTGCGTTAATTAATATTGGAATTAGGATACAGTGAATTCCAACTATAGTCAGTCAGCTACAACGTAAAACCTGGCACATATATGCGTTGGTCTAAGTTGTCATACCTCATTAGCACAGCAAGACGAACACCGAATTCATAGAAGTAGTTAATTCAATGGTTCCAATATATAAAAGAAAGTTTACATATAAGGATAAAGTACAGAAAGAAAGAAGAGAAGATAGAGAGTGTATACACCTATGCCAAGTTACTAATTTAAAAATAATAAACTCTATATTAAACTTCAATATTTCAGATTACACTGATGATATGGTCATTGGTATGCATTCTAAGTTACAGTGAAATATACACTTTTCTTTTACTTCTTATTATTACTAATGTCTATATTCAATATTATATTTTTAGTACAAGATAGAATTCTCAGAACAGCACATACCTTTTCTTATTACTTGATCGATCCAGACGGTAAATACTGGCTGGTGACTAGTTATATATTATCATTTAAGAAGTTGACATCTGAATAATATTCATTCATTTCAATGCACAATGCCAGCAATCACGATGTATCCGGTTGTACATTTTTATAACTAGCACAGAGAAATGTCGTCAACTTTTCACAAACTCACCTGAATAAGTTATGAGATTAATAGGCATAACGATATGTTATAACAAACAAGGAAACAAATAACTTGTTGAAATACCTAAATGGCAAGAATAGGTAGAACAGATATTCAAGCAAGGCGCCTCAGTGATATCGTTCGTTTCTGTATGTCGATAACTGTCCTACCTCCCAAATCTTTCTCAGAGATCGTAGAATATCTTCGCTGTTAAATCTGTGTCTGACTTCAGTACTTCAACCGGTGTGCTGTGTGGTCTTTCTGCTTTCCCACTCTTGATTTGTTTGATGGTCATATTGATTACTTTAACTGTTTTTGTGGTAACATCTACAGGAAGATCTGTTTGTGCTTCTTCGATGTCCTTTAGAAAAAATTCGGTCTAAATTTGTTGTTTATTTAATTAAATCATACTGTCATTAGATACCCAATAAAATGATAACCATATGAACGTTAGTTAGTTTAAATATAACCGTGAATTCTTGAAAATTTTATAAATATACTAAGTGTATAAATAGTAGTAGATAGTTTGTATAACATATTAAATAGTGTTCTCATGAACTTTGAACTTGATATTCTAAAATTAAAACTATTTCGTTCAAATAATTCAATTGTAATTAATAGTAAAATTCAAGTATATTAATCTTATATAAAGTTTATCAACTGGATGAACTTGTATCTATGTGTTAATATTTATATTTGAACTTTGACCAAATGTTTATCATTTCAAATTGTAATTTGTTATTTACTAAGTTACTAAGTTCAAACTTTTATTAATTTCAATAGTTGAAATCATGAGTCAATTGAAGGTAGACCACTATGGAAAACCTGGAAGCACTGGATGGCCGTTTCTTCCTAGTATGGGACTCTTCAACAGTGCGAATCCACGATCCCACCCCCCTGCGAAATTCAAACCCAGGTTTTCATTGGTGGTCTAGCTTCAATTGACTCATAATTTCAATTAGAGAAATTACTAAAATCTCCACAAAACCCCTACTAATCTTATTAATTTGTTTAACAGATATATTGTTTATATGATTATTAATAAGTGTTTATATCATCAGTTTGTTAATATACACAAGTGTATTTTGACCAGATTTTGTTGGCATATATAAATTTTGTACAGATTACTTTGACATAAATATGTTTTTGTATCTTTTTTTTAAAATAGACAGAACATAGGTAGTAGTGCAATTCATGATATGCTGTTTGTTTTACTTGGGACCTATCAGTTAGATGTATATTGAATTAGGAAATTTAAAGTATAATGAAACATTTCAAGTACTTCAGTTTACATTATTGCATATGTAGAATTATTTTGGTGAATGCACAATTGTTCCTCTGTGAAATTGAATAATAATCTTAATTAAT